GAGTCTTTCATCGCCGGAACGAGAAATCGTTAGAAGTTGCGGGAAATTGCTGAAAGTTCGTGTCGAACTTCGGAGTAACGAGCTTCGACTCGAGATCTCGTGGCTCGCGGCGGAGATTCTTAGAAACTTTTATTGTTATTGTTATTGTTTGAAACACAAGAATCACGCTCGTTTTGAAACGAAGCAACGACTGTTTACTTGTATCTGTATTTTAAACAGCATCCTTTTTAATACGGTAAAGTAATTTCTGAATGGAAATTCTTTGATACAATAAAATAACTTTTCGACGGAATAGATGTCCAACAAATAGAACAGAATTGTTAGATAGAATAAAACAGAGTAATTTTTTTAATAACAATAAATTTAAATTACAATGACGCTTACAATGACGTAAGTTCAAGGTTCATAAATTTTCTATTATTATCGATTGAAATGCGAGAATTGAAATGGCAGTGACGTTTACTTATATTTGTTTTTTAAATAGCGCAATACAATTATACGATAAAGTAATTCTTTTTAATAAAATAGATAGAATGGAATTTTTTAAATGTAACACAACAGTAACACAAAGTTTAAATTCGCTTACGACGGCGCGAGTTCGAGTGAAGCGAGAAAAATCGATCGCGAGGATACCGACAATAAGACAATAAGCCGTGATATTTCGAAATAGTTACAGTTCAATTATTGAGATGCATGCATTTTACATGAGTATACACGTACGTTTAATAAACTTTGCGCGCTTGCGAAACCGTCGTTGCGAGGACAAATGTTTGTAGGAAAAACACGTCCGACCTGTTCGATTGGACTTCAAATATTCGACTAAAGGAACGGTTCTCCCACGAACCGCGCAAATTAACCACTGTGTATTCGCGGAAGTTATTTCGTTTGTCTTCCGACTTCCTGATGTCGTGCAAATAGAATAATACATATGTCTGTGTCGGTTGGCAGAGTATACGAGATCAAAGGTTGTAAACGATGAGAGGAGGTAAAACTTTTTAACAGATTTCTGAAAGATCGACAATAAAGATCGTATTTTTTTCATTAAGTAAAATTATTATATTACACATATATATTATATAAGTTGGGAATAGAGTTAAATAGATTGAATTGATTTTTTCCCAGACAGGGATTAAAAAGTTTGATGTGTGCCAAATGAAGATATCCTAAAAATAATTTTGCATTTGTATCTTTTTTAAATGAGATATTTTTACATTAAGTTGGAGATAGATCTAAGAAGTTGATTTCTTAAAAAACGGGGACTAGAAATTTTGATTGTGTACTGGATGAAGATATCCTGAAAATAATTTTGTATTCGTGTCTTTTTTTTTCAAATAAAATATTTTCATACTGAGCATATTAAATTGGAAATAGGTCGAAGATTAAATCGTTGGACTGATTGTTTCAGAAAGGCAGAAATTAGGAAGTTCAATGTGTACTGAATTTTATATTTAAAAGTAAGCTTTGCGGCTGATCCGACGCTACTTTTACTTCTTCTTCAATTCTACTGGCGAGATTAAGGAAACACGAACTTTAGACCCTCTGAAAGAACAAACGAAATTAAGAACCGTTCATCCAAGACTGAACACGATCAGTGAATTCATTGTACAATCTCATCCATAATGTCATACAAATTTAGTGCCCCGACTATTATAGCGAGGTAGAGACTGCCTTCTCTTCCCCCTCTTCCACCTAGAATTTAGATATAAAAACTATAGCTCGACTCTACTTTCCCCCTATTCTCTCTACCATAAACATAGAACATCCAACGAAAGCACGTTGCAACGTTTGGAGTCTGATGGTGTACCTAAATTGAAGGGGAAAAAGCCAATTATCATATATTTCCAAATTATTTATATATTTTAGAATTTTTACAACTTTTGGAATTTCGAAGATTAATTAATACATGTTGTGATATTTTACATTTTCAACGTAGTATGATCGATTTTTCACTTATAAATTTTCTTACAATTTTCCTAAAATTCTAGCACCTCAATCGTCGTGTTTCTAGTAAATTTCAAGCAATATTTGATCTTCGAAGCCTGTAGAAATAAATAGCGTGTGAGTCGTTCCAAAATTTCATTGACATTGCACTTGAGTTCATCAGCATCTCAATAGCCGTGTCCGGTATTATCCGTTTATTGACCATCAATTAATCAGCTGGCTAATTGAAAGTTTGATTGGCCAAGCCAGCTACAGCACTGCACAACAGCATCGGTGTATTTATTCCAAGTTGGTTCGATCTGCTGCCGGAAATCTCGGCGATTAGTGAATCGAAATGAATTTCTCCCTTTCGAATAGATTAATCGCCGTAATTAGTTCGAAATTAGTTATTTCTATCTTTTCTTCGATTTTTACGTACGCTGTCCGACTCGAAACTTGTAAAATAAATGTACGGTAAAGATTGTGTTACAAAGAGGGGCGAAAGTCTTCACAAGTGAAAGATAAGTCGAGATATATGATTGATTGAAATTTTAGAAAAGAAAATCCAAGAAATTCGTCGAGAAAGACGAATTAAAATTACTCGTACTACACCGACTTAAAACAATCTCGTTATTTACAAATAGAAGAGTAGAGTAACTGATAATAATAGAAATTACTGACGACTAAAGTATAAAACTTGTATCGGAAAAATTGGACTGCAGAAAAAAAAAAAGAAAAGGAAAAATTCATAATACATTGAAGATAATCCTTTGTTCACTTATGCATTTTACTAAAGATCATTTAAATCTATAAAAACGCAATATTGTAAAAGATTACTCTAAGAAATTAGTCATTTTGATTACTTTGGTATTTCTGGTTGTTAACTTTGAAAAGAATAATAATAAGGTTTTACAGATATTACAAACATTTGATAACAGAGTTTTCCATTCGAATTTAATTCAATGCTTCTCGATGAAAGCTAGCTCGAGCTGAAACCCAATTACAGATACTATAACAACATCTGACAACTAACGTTTCAAAATTTATTATTTCCAAGCGTCTAAAGCACTTAGGAAATTTAGCCGAATATTCTACATGGTTTAACTTAAAATATCGATCGAAATGGGATTAAAACAATTAAAAAGAAAATTAATGTAATTCCAAGCGTCAAATCGGCTTTACGGTTCTAAAAACAAAGATTTCAAGCTCAATCAAATTAAATTCGTCTTATTTTCTGTGAATTGTATACAGGGTGTTCCTCATCGAGTGTCTTAAATATCTTACGTGTTTTTGAATGATCACAGACATTGCCTCGAAATGTGAAGATCAACGATATTTCTCTTAAACAAGTTCACAGAAATTTATTTTCGTTGTCATATTTAATCACGTTGAAATAATCGAGAACATAATCGGTAATTGTCCAATCTGTGACATCTGTGACACAATAGCATGAAGAACGTAAAACAATATTTTTAATTTTAGCAAACGCCGAACGATTAAATTTAGCACATTCTACGATA